AAAGGGTCATAACTCGGAATAGTCCGGACAAGTTTTGTGACGGACAGACGGACAGGCAGACAGACCGACGGACAAACGGACGGACAGACGACGGAGAAGTGATCCCTATATGTATATATATGACATAATAACAAAATTGCAAAAAAAAGAACCGCCAGAATTATTTGAAATAAGCCCGTAAAACCAAATTCTCTTGAAATGTTCAAAATATCAAAACGTTATCTTTTCCATCTAGATGTAAATACTTTTCTGGAATTATGTTAGTATATAAAGTGATGAATAAATTAACACTAGCATATATTTCTTATCTAATTCTGTTATCCCATACTAAGATCAACACATAAAAAGACATAATGCATAAAAGACCTAAAACAAATTATTTGAAACGTATTATTCTAGTAGTTATGGAACACTATCATTCATTTTAAAATAATAAATTTTTCAAGTCTTAAATTGTTTAAATCACATTTCAAACATTTATTATTATCTAGTGATGAATTATAGAAAATTTACCTATACTGCAATATAATATTATTAGATTTACTGAATGTTGTAATCTTTATAATTGCTTTGATATGTTTATGTTTTATTAGAGGCCTTGTTAAAAATAAGATTTTGCATTTTATGTGTTGTATCTAATGCTTTGATGTATGTCTTACTAAGTTATCATCGTTAAATAAAGAGTTTATTATTATTATTATTATTATTATTATTATTATTATTATTATAGCAAAAACTTTGCGTGCTCTTGTATGATCTTTTTTAATCGAATTACAAATACACTGACAATATACTATTATTGCCCAAGTCATTGCTACCTTTATTAAGTTACTAACTTATTTTAATGTAAGAAAGTCATTGAGCTAGTTATAGCTCAAATAATGTTCTTATACTTTCAAGTTTGTATGTAATATACATCTGAAAATCTATATCATCCATTTAAAAAATAATATCGGTCTGAGCGGTGTTCATGGACTATTTAACACCAGTTTGGAGTTTTGATGCGTAGGAATTGACCACGAAGGCCGTAGGCTTGAGTGGTTTTTTTCGCATCAAAACGACTAACAAGATAAAATAAGGTAGATCACTTATGTTATTGTTTCAAGCAGGAATAACTTCAAGTGCCTATTTTCGTATAACGCTGTACAATTTCACACCCTACTGCTGCTAAGATTTAGAAATTATTAAACAATAATAATAGAAATAATAAGAAAAAGAGTTAATTTAACAAGTTTTCATAAAAAAAATTGAATTGGATTGAATTGTGTTTACATCAGTGTCCAATTTATCATAATTGAATGTTTGAAATGACGTCAGCGTATATGAATGAGATGTATACTTAGGATGACGTCATTACGCTGCTTACGGATTGGCGCCGTTTTGACAAAATATTTATTAACCGATATGGATCAAATATGTGGTGTTAGTGCATGTGAGATATTGTTTCATTATTAAATCACGAGGGGTGTTAGAACTAAAAATAAAATTACAACAAACTCATCAATTATGTTGTTCTGAACTACACGAACATATAACGTCTCTTATTGATTTAACGATGCCACTTTTATCGGCTTCCACACGACCAAAATCACTATAAGCTCCGATTCACGCACTTTGTTTTATCTGATTTATTGTAATCTGAAAGTGTTTTCGTAGATAACATTTATGTCAGGAAGAGTCCTGCAAAAACACTGCATTTCATCTTAAGTGATATTTATAAAACTTGTACATTTACATTAGAACATTATCACTTTTTGCAATTGGACAAACTGATCTTCAAATCATATTCAGATATCAAAACGTTCTCATAAAACGTCATCATTATTTATTCTTCAGCATGTCTACACAGTAATCTTTTCATAAAAAGGGACCGCTCGTATGTGTAAAATGTTGTCTTGTTTATTATAAATAAAGCAATTTCACGCTATTTCGGCACTTCTTATTGCATGACCAATTGTAGTTATTAAAATAATAAGTATTTTAATTGTGTCATATATATGTTCATATATAGTCACAAGCGTCACTTAGATTGTTTATATTCTACTCTTTTTAAAATCTAAACCCTTTTATCGTTTCGAAATGTTAAAAGATGGCGCTTTAATACAAATAAATTGATCATAAAAACCTCATGCATATTGAAGTCTACAATGTAATCAGCATATCTTTATCAATATATATTGAAATCAAGTATAATACCGGATTAATATATTGTTATATTTCATGTTTATTGCTATCAAATGTACAATGTAAGGGACAAACTTCCCTTTTGGCTATCATTTGCTTGAAAAACTAATAAAAAGTAAATTGATAGTTTCATTGATCAGTTATTTATAACTATTCATTTCATCTAAATTTATCCAAATTAATCGAATAGGGAGCATTTGAGACATTTTCAGCGATATGTTTGAAGGTCATAGTTTTATGTAACAAATAAAAAGAATAGATACTTTTATATTTTAGACAGATTTATTTTTTATCCTTATGTCAACTGTTGGACAGTCAATCATTTAACATATTGAGGCAATTCAGCTTAAGTTGACAAAGGACAAGTGAGCATGATAAGCAACTAACATCATAGACTTTTTAGTGTGTGTACATTTTTCTCAAAACATACATTTGCCAATGATCAAAACAATTAAAAGCATTTTACTTAAAAATAACCAAATGCATTGCAAACGAAAACAGACCAATCTGTGTTGTGGAGCTGGTAATGCAATCCATGGGGTATCCCTCCACCAGGGAAAACTGGAGTCACCATTTGACCTTAACAGTGTAGGTGCGAAGTAAAATCCCCAAAAAGAAGTATGTTTAAATTTACATAAATGCATTTATCAAAATACCTTTTTTTGCAGGAAAGAATCAACATTTTTATAAACATTCTCGATACTTATATTCATTCTGTTTTGTGCGCAAATATTGATATAAAGACAATTAATAATTTCATTTCGCTTATTAAGATAATTATAAAAAGAAAATAAAAACATATCGATGTCCCTTGTTGTTTTTTCGTCTACGGTAAGTATTTTCCCTTTTGCCCTGGTTCTTATTTCTTTAATTTACCCCCCCCCCCCCTATTGTTCAGTCTATTTATGTTTTTTGAATTCCTTGTCAGTTTCCAATTTTCTTCCTTTTATTCAATCATTTATTTGTTTTCTTAGAATTTCTTATCAGTTACATATTATTTATCATTTTAGTGATTAGCCTGTCTGTGCTCTGCCTAGTGCCCTGTCCTGGTATTTGTTTTGGGTCTGCCTTGGCTCCTTGCCACTGGTTCTTGTTACTGGGTCATGTGGGGGTTGCGTTCATTGAACGCCGCCTTTCCTTGTTGATCTTGTTTATCATATTCTATACAATGTGAAACTTGTACAGGAATAACATGTCTGAATATCACAGTGATTTATAGATATTTTATTAATATTTTATCAAAAACAGCACTCGATTTTGATGTTGAGTAGAAAAAAGTCGCCAAAATAAATGTGTTCAAACATAATAAACAAGAGGGCTATGATGGCCCTGAAGTCGCTCACCTGTATATAGGCCCCCAGAGCGGGGCCAGTTTAAACCCCAGGGCATTTATTTGAACAAACTTAGTAGACATCCATTGGAAGTTGTTTCATGCTAAACATCTAAGGTCTAGCTCGTTTAAAAAAAATATTTTTTAAGTTTAAACTATACACATATAGTTAAAAGCAATGACACCCCTAAGGCGGGGCCAGTTTTGACCCCAGGGCTTTTATTTGAACAAACTTTGAAGACACTCACTAGAAGATGTTTCATGCTTAATATCTAAACTCTACATATTTGTTTTTTTTCAAAGAAGATTTTTTAGTTTTTGCTATACACTTATAAGGAAAATCAATGTCCTCCGGGGCAGGGCCAATTTTGACCCCAGGGCTTTTATTGAACAAACTTTGAAGACACTAACTGGAAGATGTTTCATGCTTAATATCTTAACTCTAGCTATTTGGGTTTTTTTCAAAGAAATTTTTTTAAGTTTTCGCTTTACACATAAATAAAATCAATGACCCCCGGGACGGGGCCAATTTTGACCTAAGGACATTTATTTGTAGACACTCGATAGAAGATGTTTCATGCTTAGTATCTAAACTAGCTATTTTGGTTTTTTCAAAGAAGATTTTTTTTTAAAAGTTTTTGCTTTACACATTTAAGGAAAATCAATGACCCCCGGGGCAGGGCTCTAGCTCTTTGGGTTCTTTAAAAGAAGATTTTATGTTTTTTACTATATGCATATAGGGAAAATCAATTACCCCCTGGGGCGGGGCCAATTTTGACCCTAAGGCTTTTATTTGAACAAACTTGATAGACACTCAATAGAAAATGTTTCATGCTAAATATCTTAGCTCTAGCTCTTTGGGTTCTTTAAAAGAAGATTTTATAAGTTTTTACTATATGCATATAGGGAAAATAAATGACCCCCTGGGGCCGGGCCAATTTTGACCCCAGGGCTTTTATTTGAACAAACTTGGTAGACACCCACTAGAAGATGTTTCATGCCAAATATCTAAGCTCTACCCCATTGGGTTTTTTAAAAGAAGATATTTTAAGTTTTACTATCGGTTGCCATGGCAACCAGAGTTCTGCATGAAATTAAATTCTTTGAACAATTTTTAAAGGGGACCACCAACTAACATTCCTGTGAAGTTTGGATGAAATTGGCTCAGCGGTTTATGAGGAGATTTCATTAAAAGTAAAAGTTTACGGACGGACGACGGACGGACGGACGACGGACGGACGCCGGACGAAAAGCGATTACAAAAGCTCACCCTGTCACTTTGTGACAGATGAGCTAAAAATACATTCTTAAAAAAGTGATGATCTTTCCAACGTTACGGATAACTCAAATAAAAGGGAAAAAGAAGTCAACAGAATTACTCCAAGTCCATCTTACGATTTGACAGAAATACCAAAATTTATATGCAACTATAGATAAACAGCTTAATAGGTATAATCACACGTACAATCTTTATTTGTTTAGAAGATAACGGTTCACAAAAAAATAAATTAACACCGGCTCGATTTATTAATGATACGTGTAAAAATACTTCCTTGGGTGGACATTATATGAACAAGTGTTTTAAAAAATTGGATTTATTGCTAAAATGTGGGTATAAAATTTAATTCTTGATAATTAGAATGAAATATCGAGCAATGACTAATGTTCCGCCTACCAACTGGGTGCTATATCGGAAAATCGCTTTCTGCTTGACCGAGAAAAATACGCATCTTTGAAAATATGTTTTAAAATGTTGTCTAGCTGTTTTTATATCACTTTCTGTGTTAATCTTCTCATTAAACTGGTTGTGTTTAAGGAATTATGTGAAATTTCTTTTTAGATTGATCAGATGAGGAGAAATATTTGTAATTTGATAAAATTGTTATGGCTTTTTTATAATTACACTAGTATCTTATAGAATTTCGTATAATACGAAGATATAATTGAAAGAATATCTAGATTGATTATCTATATGAAAGTGGCGAACTGCCATTTTTATCAAGGCTCAACTAGAAACGTGTTATTGTTTTTGAATAAATTGAATTAAAATCTTTTACATGACGGATTTAGAACCTTTTGTTCAGTTTAATCAAGATATGTGTTTATTTTATAACATTTTATAGACAACAGGAGTTTGTACTAGTCTTGTTAGTAAAACCTGAATGTCTATCAGGCTGATAAATGACATATCTACATTACCTAACGTGGTGAAAGAAACTTAAAGTGACAGAAAGCCATCCCGTCTGTACTTTGACCAGACTGGTCTATGAACTATTTTTTATTTATTTTGACAATGTATTTAAATATATGGTTTAATAACATTTTATTGCTCTTTGAGTACAATTTAGAACATTATTTCCACAAAACAACATTTTTTAACAAAGGGCAAAAGGGTTGAACAACAAGTTCTAGCAACATTAGTAACTGTCCTTCCCTTAAGCATTATAAGATATAGAAACGAACGAAAACATGTTTAAACACTATACACATAAGCAATTTCAAATATTAAGACGGATACAAAACAAAGTAGCAAATAGAATTTGACATCAAATTTAAGAGAACAATAAAACATTTTCTTATCAATTTTTTAAATATAAAAAATGATAGTAATTTTCCTGCACTTGCAGTATGTAATGGTTTGTATGGCTGTCAAAATATGTCATTTATAAAGGGAATTAGAAGAATTAATATTGGAACAACGATTGTTATTTTTACTTGTACTTATTTCTTATTATTTAAAGCTATGTGTATTTCTTTATATATTTTGGAACCTCATGAAAGAAAAAAGAGTTTTCCTCGACTGATAAATTTTCTTTTCCATAAAGGAGAGTACTTGTACTTAATGGATGAAAAGGGCGAGTGGAAGTGAAAAGTTGGAGTCTTTGAACACCAAAAAGTTTACAATTAAAAAAGAAATTGATATGGCAAAACTCACAAACAGGGGAGTTTGCTAAGTGATTTCTATACAGATCATCATTCAAATTACTACATCTATTTCTTAAACGTGCATGGTAAACAGATGTTAACCTTTCTCCAATTAAATAATATTTAGGGACAAGTGTGGGTTTGAATTTATCCTTAAGTTTAGTTTTGAACACATTTAAAGAAGTCGAGTCACGTATGTCATTATCAAGACTATTCCATGCCGAAATTGCTGAGGGTATAAATGATCTAGAAAATATTTCTGTTCGTCGTGCTATTGTTACAAAAGTATCGTTATTTCTAAGGTTATATTGGCTACTTTCTGATACAAAATTTGGGAACAAAGTGTCCAGATAACTTGAAAGCTCCCCATTTTTAGCTTTATACATTATTGATAATTTTTGCATTAAACGACGATCCGCTAAAGAGACCCAACCTATTTCATGCTATAGTCTTTCTATAGACACTGAGCGAGTCAAACCAGTTACTAAGCGCGCAGCTTCGTATTGCAGTTTTTCAATTTTTTCTTTTTCATATCAGGTACAACTATCCCAAATAACACTAGCATATTCTAATAAAGGCCTCATATAGGAAATATAAATTTGATTTAATGTTGTTCTATTTAATTTGAACTTTAAATAACGCATAGAACTTAATATTTTGGACGCCGAGTTAGTTATATTATTAATATGTTCATGCCAGGGTTAACCCCAAATGCCTGTGGTGTTGAGTGTAATTAAGTTAAACATTGTTAAAGTACAAAAAAGGTCTTTCATTTCTAATAAGAGGACACAATAATACTTCTGTCTTATTAGGGTTAAAGGTTACAAGCCATTGGTCTGCCCATTCAGTAATAGTTTTAAGATCAATATTTAGAGTCATTTAAATATATTGACAAATGAACTAAGAAAGTAATAAAAGCATTGCGAACTGCAATCCAAAACCTTATTAATCGATATGATGTTTTATTTTCTCGGTGTAGATAATTGCCATCCATAGAAATGTATCAAAGTTGTAAGAAAAAATAATAAGATAGTTGTCATTAAAAAGTAAAATATTGTTTTAAATAGCTTTTAACAAACAAACCAAAAGGCCCCGTTATTACAGTTGTGTAATATTGCCATTAAATGCTTTTGATAAGATGATTTTTTTAAAAGAATTCATTTGCGACCAGGTCTGACTTGAAAGTCATTGAGATAATTGTTGTAAAAATGTGTACCTTTTATTATCAAGACAAGATATTTAATCATTCTTCTTGAAAAAGGTCCTATACAAACTAGAGATATTTATACGAGTATAATATATGAAATCGAAGGTAATTAGCATTCTGAACATGTGATGGTCTTATTAATTCTACGTTATTGAGAATGTTATGGTACTAAAATGTCCCGTTTGAATGCTAAAGCTAGATGTAAGAACAACTGGTAACGTGACCATCTGTTTGATAATTACCACCTTGCCAAGTAATAGTTGTGGTATCATTTTTCTGTTGAAATTGAACTAGAAACAGCGACGAAAAAGTGTTCCAAAACCATGCAATAATAAAAGTATTTCTCAATACCGTATTTACAGCTCAGCAATTGAATTATGAAGACACAATATTGTTTAGCACTGCTCTTGCTGCTAGTACCAGGAAACAGAGCCATCTTAGGTAATATTGCGTTTAAAAACAAATAAGAGCTTAAATGTAAATTCTCTTAATGAATACCCGCCCCGTTCAAAGATTTTATTATAATATGATAAAACGATTTAGGTAGATGATCTACAATGATACATGTATATACTCTGTATGTTAAATACACCGTTAAATTTGAACATATAAGAACATAAACAGGAAAAGAAAATGGATAAGTTATCGTCTTAAATCATAGTTATTTTCAAGTGATATTTACGTTACAACAACATTTTCAATTTAGATAAATTATATATAATCCGAGATACCTGCAAACTCAATATGATACGGATAGCATAAAAGACAATTAAATGGAACGTCTATGATTGTGTATTTGACATGATAAAATTTCTATCATCAAGATTGGGTGTGGTTACCCAGTGACAGAAACATTAAAACTTTGATATAAATCCGTATCAAAATTTTGGAGTAACTATCCTTTTTCATTTTAAATAAAATACAATGATTTTAACTGTTTCAAGTAAATGTTGCTCTTGGAAAGAAAACTGAACAGTTTGGACGACAAGGAACATGGCCATCTTCAAATGCAGTTGATGGAGTGAAAGAATGCCAGAATATCAACGACAAATATCTTACATTATCAGGATACAGTGATTTACCGTGGTGGAAGCTTGACCTTGGAGGATTATTTCAGATTCATCAAGTCAATATATTTGGAAGGAACGACGCCCAATTCAGTGAGTTGAGATCTAATTAAGATTATTATAAGATGACAAAATCTATTTAAAATAAAACGTTAAGGTTTACCAATATTTGGTACGGGTATAAACTACATTTATAATGAAGTTTTGCAAGATAGAATGAAATTAATAAATACCTCCTAAGAAATACTTACCTTCTTATTACTTTAAATCGAAAACAAATTGTGCGCGATTTGCAACAGAATTTTAGGACCGATTTTTTGCGCTAAACTCTGGCATTGTGGCAAAGGTTACCCCGTCTTGTAGTTATTTGTAAAAGTAAAACGGGCTGCAGAGACGTTGCCATAGTTACTCTTTGTGTTTGTTATTTTAGTTTATTTTATCTTATTTCATTTCATTTAAAAAGCATTTTGAAAATTTTAATCTTGCGTTTTAAGTACATGACAAATATGTCAGATTGGATACAATCAATAGTAAATTAGTATTTTTTCTCATTATTGATATATTTTGTTTCTCTTAAAGTTGTGAATTGATATTTTTATGATTTCAATGTCCACAATATTGGTTGTGTAAAAAGGAGGTGGCCCGGAAGAATCAAATATAATCAGGGGTATAACTTTGATAAAAACAATTGCAAAAGTATATTCCCAGCTATAAGTATTTTAGTTTTACTTTAAACATATTTCATTGCATCACACACATGTAAAATATTATACTAATGATGAGGATATCACAAAATACAAGTTCTGGCAGCGTTAGATTAAGCTCTTCCCAGAAATTATCATCATAGAAAAAATATTTTAGGGCAAAAATGATAACCTAAAACATGTGTATAAAATTTGAAATATGTTATTAATTTTTAAATTTCATTTATTCATTATATGTAATTTTGACTTTGATGTGCGATCCATCCACATTATGCCACGTTTCTTTAAAAAAAATCGTACACAGAACCATCTTGTCAAATATTCATCATTTTCAAGACATAACCTATTCAATGTATTTTATCAGGTAGATTCAAAGATTCGTGGTAATCGCAAACTGTTTGATACAATGGCAGGATTTGTCTCAAATTATATCACAGAAGTGTTTGGATATTATGACTACAAACTATTTGAATACATTATAAATTTCTCCGGTATATTCATTGTGTTCGTATACCAACAAATCTGAATAATTACATGGAGATATGGGAAATGTACAAAGGCAAACTGTAAACTTTTAATGTTTAATATTAGATTTAAATACTCAAAATCTGGATACAAAGTGATCCCTCGGAAGCATTAATCACAACAAAATTACACGAGAATTGCAGACTCGGTTTGACTGAGTTTTTTCTGTACATGAGGGATAATGAATAAGTGCAACATCACTCACGCCCCCTAGCACCGGCTTGAGCGGTAATCAAGTCACCTGATAATCTTATTGTTTGTTTGTTTGGATTTTACGGCACGTCAACACATAAATGGCCATATCGTGCCGAATGCTATAATCTTATTACCATGAATATATACAATTTGCATTAAGAAGAGGCGTTGAAGTATAATATATTAGAGAAAAAAAGATATTCAAACATTAATTAAACTAGCAGACTTTCATCTCACAGCGGTTTTAAACACGAATTTCAATATGAAAACTCTTTAAGCATTATAAATACATGTCTCAATAGAATTATTTGAACCAAATTCAATCTGAAAATATAAAACGCTAGGCACGATAATACTCCAGGAGAAAATATCGGAATTTTCATTAAATTTGGTATAAACAAAATATATATTCTTATTAATATGCCCAAAATAATACAATTCACGTAGAGAGTCTTATAAACCATACTTTCATAGATGGCCTACAAATTTCGAATCACAATAATTAAAATCCTGTCACACAAGTTACCTCAATTATGCATCCAACAATAATGTGCTTAGTATAATTATATAACGGTTATGTCCACTTAAGAAATAATAATTGTTGTTGTTTAATGGGTAAATGATGCGAAATTGCAACGTTTAACACAATTTAATGTCTTTCTAGTTTAATTTACTTATTATAATATATATAAGTGTTTTAATGCATTATTTTGTCATCTTATAGTTACATGTTAACTGCAAATTCTGAAAGATAGGTTAAACCCTTGTTATACTTGTGCAAGTAAGATTTTAGACCCCTTCATTTCTCGACCCCTTACGATAGTAAGATGACTCCTAGACCCCTTGACACTTAGACCCCTTTTAACACCCTAGTGGGTGAGACATTTCGACCCCTATCTCAATTTTTGTACTTTAGGATAACAGCCCCCTGACTAAAAGTGAAGGAATTATTATAATCATAATAATGAAAATTCGCGATTTGTGTATTGCGTATTAATTCACAGACGCTTGGGGGTCAGATCCTGCCCCAACGTGATACGCCCCTGTAAACACTCTATCAAAAATAGTTTAACAAATGGGACATCTGATACAACTGGTTTTTAAACATTTTTTACATATCTGAAAAAATTACCTTTTACAATCAAGTTTCAATAAAGTAAAGATTGCAGACTCCAGAATACACAAATTCCCGAAACCAAATAAAGATGTTAAATAAAATCTTACCATGACTTTTTCGGTGTAAATCAATAGTATATCGAATTATCTTCCAGATGCAATCAGTATAAACATCTATATGTGACAATTTAATATAAAAGAGTCCTGTCCAAGCAATACGCGAAGTGTTCCCGGCTCTGCGTTGGGCGCTTATTAAACCGTTAGGAAAACGGTGTACTCGCCATCGACTACTCGTGTATTGTATCGTCACCGTCATTTCCCGCGTAGTAGCTGTTTGCAATTGCTCGTTGGCAATTTTATCGTAATTTTTGGACAGTTTTTGACTGTACGTATTCAAACTGAACTTAACGATAATGTTAAGTGCAAGCCAAGCACGTTTTTATGCTGCTGCTTCAAGTGGCCATAGTATTATTTTAACTGGTCAGGGTGGCACTGAAAAATCTTACGTTATCGGTAAATTTTATGACGATATGACAAAAAGAGGGAAAGTCGTTTCAATTACATGCAGTACGGGTATAGCTGCAACACAATATTGCTCTGCACAAACACTACACAAGTTGTGCGGTTATGGTGATGTGGTCAATCATACAAAAGAACTTGCTAATTTAGTATGTACATATGAGAGGTATCATGAGACAAGACAGCGTATAATACGCTGTGATATCCTCATTGTTGATTAATGCTCTATGATTAGCAAAAAAGTGTTTGAAGCCGTCGATTTATTGTGTAGGTCGGTACGAAAAAATGAGAGGTATTTTTGGGGTATTCAAGTAATATATTTCGGTGACTTTTTTCAGCTTCCTCCCGTACCAGATCAACTGTACGGTGAAGCAGGTAAATATTGTTTTGAGTCTGATTACTTTAGGTCTGCCTTACCACACCATATAAATTTAGAAACATTTATTTCGATAAAAAGAAAACGACTTGATTTCTTGTGTGAATTCTCTTGAAAACGGAAACATAAGTTTAGATACCATCAAATACATAAAAAGTTTAGAAAGAAATATTCAGGTTAAAGGAAATACATTGCACCTTTTCGCACGTCATTATAAAACTACTCTTTTTAATCATGACAAATTGTAAATATTCCCAGGAACTATAAAAATATTTGAATCTCAAAAAGAGGATGATTCCTATTACCTTCAACGATTTCAAGCACCTAAAACATTAGGTCTGAAAGTTGGATGCCCTGTGATGCTTGTCGTTAATTTACGTAATGTACTTGTAAATTGATCGATTGGTAAGGTTAAAGATTTCTTAGATGACAATATTGTTGTTTATTTCCCAAAACCAGACATTACTGTTACATTGAGTCAATATGCTTTTACAAAAATAGACCCTGTTTCAAAAAAGAATCTAGCAAAAAGATTTCAGTTTTCATTAATTCTTTCATTTGGTATAACAAATCATAAATCACAGGGCATGTTACTTGAATCAGTCGTTGTAGATTGCGAAAACGCAAACATACCAGGTCAACTTGGTGTTGCATTAGGACGTGCAATGACTGCAGAAATTTGCAAGTTAAATTTTCAGTGCACATTTAGTTACAATACACCCTCAACAAGTTTATAATTTCTATAAAGTATCATCAAAAGACCTTTAACCTGATTGCAGTTGTTGCAAAAATGAATTTATTTCATCTGACGTGTTAACTGATCTTTTTTTATTCCAATCGATTGGAATCTAACGAACAATTATTTTGATGCGGAAATTATTATTGATGCTGATAACGCTGATGCCGATGATATATTTGATCATAGTTTTTGTGTTGATGATAATGAAATCCTTCTTAAATTTAATTTAGACCAAGATAACACTGTTTTTGAAGAAAAAGTCCATACCGCCTCACCTATTCCAGATAATATTTCCCCTGTTGAAATTTTGAATGAAATAGAAGAAGAATACAATTCAACTCCCCTTGCTGAATCAATAAAAAACATTATTGAAGAAGTTAAAACTAATATGATTTTCTTATCTCTGGTTTACAAGTATTTTTTATATTTAAAATAAAATAAAATATGTGCACACACTTTTCCAGAAAATGATTTGTCGCAAAATAAACATGCTCTGTGCTTTTGCGCAAAGGTTAATTCTTATTTTATAAGCGAAACGTATTTTGAATCATGTAAAAAGGACATTCGAGAAATTAAAAGTTATACGCCGAACCTAGGTTTCATTTTATTTTCGGTAAAAGCATTAAACATTTTAAAATATCTTTTAAAGACAAACTCTGAAAATGTTTCTACTTCAGAAATTCAGGAACGAACTGTACCAACTGGAGGATTTGAAGAAGGGAAGGGTGTAACACGTTATATTGGTGGTTATTGTATTGCGAAAATTAAATTAAGTATCAAAAAAATTGTCCAAAATTCTTTATTTAAAGTAGAGATAAACAAAATCCCTAAAGAAAGTCCAACACAACAAAATTGAAAATGTTGCAGTCTCGGTTTGATTGAGCCTGTTCATGGACGGTACTGGAAAGTGCAAGTTACCGTCCAGGTCCCCTAGCACCGGCTTAAGCAGAATTCAACCGTTTAACACGAAAATGGTGAAATTTTGAATTTAGAAACATCCGCAGATGCGTTCATACGGCGGTTATCATGGAACCTTCAATGTGACACAGTAGTGCCATTCCATGAAAAGAGGCTTATGGTCCCCAAGTAAAAGAATGCTTTTGCCCTAAACGAGAAAACAATGGGCGGAACTAAATAAAATGGGATATTGAAAGGGGATTTGAGGTTATGAAGCCTGCATATCACAGATAAGACGTCAAAAGACAAATTTAAAAAGCAGGAAACATATCCTAAGGGTGATTATACAGTATTCAAGTAGGAATACTGGAACCACCCAAGTTGAAAATGGCCAAATAGAAGAAACTAAAAGTACCACATAACATGTATACACAACAATAGTGTCATGCTGAACGATCTTCAAGGATCGAAAATATAACATCATTGATTAAATGTACGGGAAGACTTTTTACAGCCGCCACATGACACAAATAACACGGATGTGACAATAAAATAGAGAAAATCAGAATCCCTAAAGAAAGTCCAACACAACAAAATTGAAAATGTTGCAGGCTCGGTTTGATTGAGCCTGTTCATGGACGGTACTGGAAAGTGCAAGTTACCTTTCTGAAAAATAGCCGCGAAAAAGTTGATATTCTATCACAGATAGTAACTTCTTACAATACCCTATCTGTTGATTCTTTATGTCCCGCAACACTTAAAACCACTGCAAGAAAGCAAAAGGATTAACAAACATTACAAACCCTGCATTTACATTTTTTCAGAGTTTAAATTTAAAACTGAGACATTTGGAAACATTTTCTAATCTTTATAAACACGGCGAGAAAACTATCGAAGTAATAGAAAGCCAGATTTTAAATGAAAGCGATTTGTTGCATCAGTTGACAGATCTGTTTAAAACTACCGCGGAAAAATATGTTTTTGAACTTTTTTACGGAAGTTGTGTCAAAATTTATTAATGTCTCTGCGTCACATTTTAGATAATATTTTTTACTCTTCATGAGAACAGAAAAATCAAAAGCACATAGGAAAAACGTTATGGAAAAGAAAGAAAATAAAAGTATTAGAAAAGAGTCATTCGACGAACTTAATAGTGATAAGTCACAGGGAAAATGTGTCTCCCAGCTGGTGTTTTAACAGATCCCAATTATTTTAATGATAAGTTTTATACAAAAAAACAAAACAAAACAAAACAAACTTTATGCTCGGCTTATATAACAGATGATATACAAACAGAAGAAACTAATGAATCTGAAACAACTGAAAATATTGCGGAGGTAGTAACCTCACCATTGACCAATGTAACAAAGGAAAAAGGAAAAGGTAGAAGGTCATCATCAACGAAGAAAGAAGAAAATAGAGGAAAAAGAAGACGATGAGAACATTTGTCCCGTTTGTTCTGGTAAGTATGATGATAGCCCTGAATGGATTCAGTGTGACTCCTGCAAATGAATGGGTTTATGGTCGATGTGTTTGAATTACTACCTCCGAACAATGGGAAATACATGAAGATGATAATGTATCTTTTATTTGTCCTTTCTGTAAATAAGAGTTTAAATTAAAGTATTAATCACACGCACACACAGTTTTTTATATTATGTATGTTTGTCATTCACTTTCACGCGTACCGCATTAACATGACAACTACATTATTTTGCGAAGTTTGAACAACTATTTTCGTACTTTAAACAAAAAACAGCAGAAAATCACAACAACGACATCACTTTTATACCCCCATATACGTCGAATTTTTATTCATGAAACTATATATCTACCACCGTAATGTTTTTTTTGTTAATATCGCTTTCTAAGTGGCACTTGGTTCATTTGTAAAGCAAGTAAGCCAACAACATGATATCAAATTTATTTCAGGTTATTCGTTTATTTTAATTACATTCTTTTTCTCATTCCACGCTAATTTATTCTCATGGCTAACATGTAACATATACCTTAAATAAAAAGGGAAATTATATTAATGTTTGAAGCTTTATGTGCCTTAAAATAGTGTGAATAGATAGATGTACATGTAATTAGAACATGAAAAAATCATCTATACATGCAGTACGGCCTGTCGTATTCAATATTGCAAATGCAAAACTTCGTTTATTTTAAAACGGGTAAGTTAAATTAATTTCATCTTTGAACTTAATACGATAATTGTTAATGTTTAATAACTTTATTTTAAAGACTTTATTAAGCTATAATTTTAGTATGTGTTGCCAGTTTTGCCACCCTGACCATAGATAAATTTTAAGAACATAAAGATCGATTAACTTTTTTGCTACCCTGTATTTCTGTCTTTTTTCAGTCTTATGGTATACGTATTCAAGTAAAGGTCGATTTGCCTTTACTAGTATATCTTACTTCTTTTAATAATTTAACTTAAATATTTTCTGTTTTTGATTACTTTTTTTTCGGTTTTTCTTTTGTTTGTTTTTTAATTCAAAAGGAAGTTATATTCCAGATATTGTTATATTGTTATGGCCGAGGCTTAACCCAAGGAAGCGTCTCAAATTAGGCATATAAAATGTTTCCTAGAAAAGGTTAAGAATGAGTTTAAACTCGAGCCTGTATATACTAATGTTTAACTTATTGTTTTTCCGACAGTAAGGGAAAGTATTTAAAATACAAACTTGAGGCTGTCAGTAATTATGCTGACACCTCTTCTTTAACCTTTTGGTTTCGTGTGAGGGGCGAACAACACCTGAAGGTGTTTCTTTCTTGGAGGAAAAAATAGCTCAAGACTGCCCTTTGCTGAGACATGACGTTAAAACAATTGTTCTGTTTTGGCACACAACTTGTGATATCACAAACCTGGTACGTCCACAACGTTTCTTAAGGCCAGCATTTCAATCGGCTGATTCTCTTGTGGATTCACTTAAGCCAAGTTTTGATTAACTTCTTTCTCTACAAAATCATAATGGCTTTGATTTTGGGTTTCCTCGAGGCTAAATTTGAGGATATGACATATTGATTAAAACTTACATACTCTAGTAGTATTCTATTAAGTTCATTTGATAATTAAAGATTTTAAACAAGTTTTTTAGATGAGTATCCATTTGTTGATACATTGGTGTCATGTTCATGAATCCGCCCAATGATAAATATTTGGTGGCCCGTACATGTGTATGTAAGATTTCGTTCTATGATGACACACGGACATCACATACAGAATGTCCAATGATGAATCACTTGTGATGAATTCTTTGATTGATGCAACGTAGATAAAAAGTTGTTAGACGATTAAGTCACATAGGTATGCGTCTGTCCTGTGATGAATTACCAATGTTACATAAATGATTATCTAAACGATGATGCAAGATTGGTGTCATATAGATCATTTTCTGTCCGATGATGTATCACCTGATGAACTGATGTCACTAAGATGAGTATCTAACCAGTGATGAGACAATAATGACATATTAAAGAGTGTTTTTCCTATGATTGAAAATTTGAGTAAAGATATTTGACGTTCGATGATGAAACATACATATATCTCTTGGCGTAAAGGTTCATTTGAAAATAAGTAAGCATATGACATAAAGAGTGCATTTAATTTTTTGTCAAATCATTAAAAAGGTAGTTTTCGTTCTGTTATTAATATGAAACACAAGGCATAAAAGATGACTGTTTCATATATATTACAACAGCAATGGTTAAGTATCAGGCACGCGCAAGCGGTACGCGCGTTGCTTGGGTGCAACGATTCAAATATAAAGAGTCTTTCTCAGTGATAAGCATAGTGTGAACAGTTAACAACAAAATATTTTGGACAATTTAATAAAAAGGGGACATATATTCATGTATATTTTTCATTGACGAGCTAAAATAAATTACATCCGTTTACATTGTATAACGCACATGTAACGTGTATTGCTGACAATCTATACGAATTATCATAAATTAATGGTACAGATTGTCAATATGAATTTATACAAAACATGTTTTTAGATATGTATGAAGTGTTGAGTACAAAACGTCAACAACAAAGGCAGATAAGGGAACGGTGCAGTTTCAACAGTTAACACAAAAATAATAACTTAAGCTTGATGTTTCATGACAGATGAAGAAATTAATATGGTATGTATTGTGGCATAGCGTCAGGTGATGCATTTTATACATGTTTATCGTGTTGAATCAATACAGCACAGATAAAAAAATGTAAAACAAATAACAACTTAAAATGTAGACTTTATCTGCATTATAAGGGTTTTTAGGAAGAAAGAGCAAGCGGTACGGCCAGTCCACAAGCGCGTTGCTCAGTCTACCAAATTAACAAAAAAAGAAGAAAAAACCACGAAAGTTTTTAAAAATTTAAATGTTTAAAGCCTTAAGAGGGTTTCGTTTTGCTGATACAGATGGTCTTTTTCTTCACTTTTGAGTAGATAGAATGTAGACAGGGTTGTAATTTCCCGAACCAGTGTTGGATGACTTTGATATGATACTTTGACCAATTATAACAAAATTGATATTTTTAACATACTGATAGAATGTAGGATTAGTGTTGTTTCCGTTTATTATTCCTCTTTGCTGGCAAACAAATATTTTCAATTACGTCGCTATTTATGCGGGCCGGTACTAAAGAAGCTCTATTTGTTTTTAACATATTTTTGCATAGTTGTGTAAAACCGATGAGACAAGAAGAAATATCTTCTCTAGTCTGATAAGAAATTAACATTTTTTCTTTTTTACCTGATGGAACGTCATCCTTATGAACGACAAAATTTTCCCAATCTTTAAACCATGTTAATGTTTGTTTAAGCTGTTCTATGCGAATGTCTTCCATATCAGTAATAGGTCTTTAATCGCTGAAAAACGGAAACCATTGTGCTTGTTGCTTTCAGCAAATTAATTGTGTCATCAAGAACGTCCCCTGTTTCCCCAAAGAATTTTTAAAAAGACATCAAGATTGTCGGCCTCCTCTCCCATATCAACAAATCATATCCATTTTACCTCACCATTAGTGTGTATCATACAAAGATCTTCTAGTATACTCATTTCATCAATTCCTATGCCACCACACATACCATCGCCGGATTTATACTCTTTAGCCGAGTCAGCCATCCATTTAAAACCCGCCCTTTGGTCTACAGAACATTTGTGTACACGCAAAGTTTCATTTGATGTCTACCATCAAATGAAACTTAATTTATTAATTCTACATTAATACTTTGCTGTCCTCAAGCATCGCATTTTTTTTTGGCTTCTACACCTGTTTGTTTGTTTGTTTCATTTTACGCCTTTCCCAACAGTATTTCAGTCATATAGGCGGGTAGTTTCCTAACCATCGTTCCTGGAGAGTTACACCAGTACAAGAATACCTTCCTCCGCGCTAAACTACCAAAGCATCTCCCGGGGATCGAACCAACGCCAGAGAGGTAACTGGATTAGAAGTCATTGACTCTAACCCCTCAACCACGGAGGCGGTTGCTTCTACACCTAGTGACAAACAAAGAATAATGGTTTTATTGTCCCATCGTCTACAATTAGGGTTTTTTGACATTTTATTTAATCTACAAGCATATCTTACATTTCTCCACTTGCTTCTGGAAGCACCTTTTCTAAGATTTTTTTCATATCATCATTACTGCTTTGTTTCAGGACAACGTTGCTAGAGTCACTTAAATCTTGTGTTTTACTTGACGGTATGTCTTTTTCTGCAGAATGGGAGCTTCCTGAGACAGACACATGATTATTATTCTTAGTGGAGGGACCTGAAGGAGACTGCAATTTTTTTGTGTGGACTTATTGTGATTTGTGAAGGATTTCTTCTGAATTTAGAGCAAAAACGGCAAGAATCACCAATATAGAGAAATGGCAGTGCTCGAGAACACTTGAAACTTCTATAAGTTTTTGTTTTTTGTGTACCTATATATTCAAGGACGTGGTTTTTTAAATGACACTTTATCTTTGCCAAGACATAATCGTATTTTACTTGTTAAACTGCAAATATTTTGTACACACTGTTTTGTTGGTGTAAAAGAATTTTCAATATTGCATTCATCGAGTGCAACAATATTTTGACCAATGAACAAATCCCATGTGTTATTATCTTTGATACTACCTTTTTAATAATTGGATTGCCGTTAACAATTGTATTAGTAACATGTGATACATGGATCTCGTGTTCATTTTCATTATTGACGAAAAATGACGACGAGATCCACTGCTTTATGTCAATAATAGTTCCTTTTATTTATGAACAGATAGATGATTTTTTTTTTTGAAAGACCGAGATATATAGTTTCATCTTTATAAATTTCGGAATTAAATCTTCTTGTGCATTTGTTTTTTGTTTTTTTTTGAAAAATACGACTTATATA